CAGCATCCTCAGCCACTCTGGCTCCCTCATGTCACATGGAAGTTCAGTGACCCTGCACAGCACCGGCAGACTGTAAGCTGAGGTGCTGTGCTCAGGGGATGGCCTGAGGAGGTGGAGGAGGAGAAGAGCTGGACCAAGATTTATTGGTTAGACGCCAAATCAGAATGAATCCAAGGTTTTCATTGTGGACTATTCACTTATACTCAGCCAGCCTTTACTCTCTACATGATGAGAAAGAGGCATGATGCAAAAGAGGCTGCACAAGTTGGTCTCTTATGTCTGTAGATTTCACATTTTGGCACAATTCCGAAAGGCAATGAAAGTATAGTCTCTGGAGCCCCAGTGCATTAAGGCATTTAAGATACTCTTAAAATTAAGCACACACTTAAGTCTCATTGTCATCTGCATACTCTTAATGCCTTTTTGTATCTTGTCCAGAAGATGTTGTTGCATGAGGAGTTATAAATCAAATAAGAAAATAAGAATAGAGATCCTTGAATCTAGATAAGAAATAGAATTATCTTACTGACAAACCTTTCTCTTCTCCTGAATGTTATTCTGCATCTAATAAAAAAGATAATGCAAGGCTAACAGGAGTCCCATTCTTGAATAAAAAGGAGCAGTTCTTGGTTACTTAACTTCTTGTTTAGAGACAGGAGAAAATGATGTGGTTTTTTAAAGCCTATTTTGAGAACAAAACAATGAGTGTCCAGAGAGAGCAAGTAGTCCCTTTTTGTGTTCAGTGGCGTCCATTTCCCATGGCTTGCTCAGCCTGCATGAAATCTACAAAGCCCCACATTGATGCTCTCTCAGTCCAACTTTCATTTTATTTGATCTTTTTAAAAGACAAATATGTTGCTGGATGTCTCACACCTTCAGTGGGCCTCACTCAGGCTGCTTGCTCACTGTGGTATGGACATGTGGAATGAGGCTTTCAAAGAAACTGGCAACAGGATTCCCTAAGGAATGGGGATCTCATACTAAGCAAGATCTAGTGTGGCCATTGCCTATGAAATGAAAGGAAAACTGGTTTAGAAGGATCTGCTGCCAGTTTTGTCTTATACCTGTCCACATTCAGTGGGGTAGCAATGCATGTGCAGTTAGTATTTTATCTGGTTTGGGTCTTATTTTCCACACTGAGAAAAGCAGTAATGTTGATAGCTCAGTGCGTGACAGAGAGCCTAAAAACATCCAAGGCAAGCCACTGTAAAACAAAGAACGGTGATTACCCTCTGTCTTCACTAACTGCAACTCAAGATTGTTGTGGGCTAGCAAACAAAAGAAATAAACCTCTGAAAGAAATTTCTTGAGAAAACAGTTGGGACTGGCATGATTTCCCAACTTCTAGTTCACTTCTTTAATATAATTATCTTCTTTTGCCAGCAGTACCAAAGCACAATACCTATTTTGTCTAGTCCCTTCCATAGTTGCCTAAGTTTGCTCCTTTTCTTTCACAGTGATTTGTTATTTGTGTGTCTGTGCTTGCTGTCCATGCAGAGTAGATCACAAAAGAAGCACAGACCTGACAGAGCTGAATGTCAGATACAGACTGGGAGCAGTCTTAGGTGAGTTAAGCGTCTAGGTCTAGGTAGGCAGCCTTTGTGCATGCATTGAGCACAGATGTTTTGTATCCATTGCTTCACATCATTTACTACATAGGCTGAACATGCCCAAAATTGCTTCATCTTCTGTCAGCAAAGATATTTCCATCCAGAACTGCTTAAGACCTGATACTTGCAGATCACCTTAAAATCTTCATAATAAATTGGCTCAATTTTGTTCCAGCACTTACTTTTCAAGAATGCCAGTGAGGCATTAGGCTCATGTATATTTTTTAGGACTTGGTAGTGATTCTTATGCATAATTCTGAATTAGATTTCTCTCCTGTTTTATTAATCTTTGAAGCAATTTTAGCAATGTTTCCTGAATGAAATATATACAAGCCCTGTGTGGAGCTTTTCTTCTTGTGAAGAGAACAACACTCTTCACTCCTTCCAGTTCCTTCAAAAGACTTTCCCATTTCTTAAAATTCAGCCTAAGATTAGCCATGCTGGTTGGATCTTGTGCTTACAGAGGTAAAGACATTACTTACAGGATTAAAATTCAGAGTATATTGCAAAACTTTCCTGTGTATACACTGACCAATATTTCTCACTTCATATATCTTATATATTCTTGCTTATTACTATAAGGACTAGCTGAATTTGCTGCCAAGGAACCAGTCTGAATCCGCCCAAGGCCTTCTAACACATACAACAGCGCACACAATCTGAAGTGAGGGATGGTTGTACACATTCACCTTTCATTGAGGTCAATGCAAAGGACTTCCAAATTCCAGCACTGAGGAAATCAGGTTATTGAACCAAACCAGTGGTGTGTTCAGTCACTGAGAATTTCACAGTCCTCCTGAAAACAAAATGTCATGATGTCCTGTAGGACAGACTAAAAGCTAAAGAAACTTGCCTTCAAAATGATAAGATACTACTTATATTACATGCACATCAGAAGTTTGTTTTTAGAAGACTCAGTTTCCTTGTATTGCATTAATGTTCAAGGTAAGCTTATCTTGCTGCATACTAGAACGCTGGTGAGTTTAGGTGATTCACAGTATATTGAAAGCTAGCTGGATCAGAATACAGCTTTTGAAACCATAGGTGTCGGATCTCAAGATCTCAGTCCTGAGATGCTGAGCCTCCGAGACCCTGGGGGGGGGCTCGGGACTCCTAGAATGTTGCCAGAAGTGTCTGATAGCTGGACTTTAACCCTACACAGGAGACGACAAGGATGAGGGCTTCACCGAGTGAGTGGTGAAGAGATTAGTTAATCAGAGAGTGAGACACAAGGTTTAGGATTTATGTACAGGGGGGTTTAGAGGAGTAAGATGGAGGAATTAGGGTGTGTCCTGCCCTCCTCCTTCTTCCTCCTCTCCTCCATCTTCTTTGGCCACAGTGGCACTTTTAGATTGGTTAGTACTGAGAGTACACCGAGTTATAAGAATAGATGGTATTGAAGAAAAATGATAAATATTGTATACGTCACATTGGGTATAAAGATAAGTGCCTGCCCCAGAGGGAGAGACAGTGTGCCCATGGCTGACTGCTGAGCGGATCTTTGTTAGGCTGAAAGAACATCTTTTAGATAAACAATTAATAAACATAAAACCAGAAAGAAGAACTGAAGCCTCTTCTCGTCCTTCGATGCGCGGGCTGCCCCAAGGCCACCCCCGGGCCTTCCAGGCCCCTCAAACAGCCGAGATAAACCGGACACATAGGCAGAGCAGAAGTAATTCTATAACTTTTCCATGGGGTTTTGAGTTCTATAAATTTAACTAATTACTCTTATACCCTTTTGTGTTTCTATTCCAGCCTGTAATAAGTCCCACTGTCTTTTGCTAAATATTTATAATTCATCTCTCATTTTCTTACTGCAGCAACTTTTTTGTCTGCAAATTTAATCTCGGTTACTTGATTAACCACTTTCCTTGACCAGGGTCTTATTCATCTCACAAGCAGAAGTCTTTCCAGTTTAACTTTTTTCTTTTTTTTTCCAGTAGCAGGTGTGATTTGTAGCACTTTGACCTGAAAATCTGAGCTGATTTGCTGTCATTTGATATTAAAGTATACCCATACATTTATGCCATTAAACCAACCTTGTACATATGAATATATATGCAATCAGAAATTCATCTTAGCTGAGAGAAAGAAGTAGTAAAATCAAATGATACATGTTTGAAGCAGACATCTTAAAATTATGACAACCATCAAAATTTTGGTTTTGCTATTAGAGCAAATTTGATACTTAAAAACATACTTATATTATCAAATATTGATAGCAGTTGTTGCTCTGAAGAGTTCATTTGTAATACCTCTCATACACAATATTTTCAACCCCCCCAAATTTATTAGCTTGATAAGTTGGAAGTTTATACAGCCTCATAGCTTATTTACTGAATTTCAGCATATTTCTCTCAGAAAATTGACTGCTTAGTAATTTTTCCCTGCACTTATGTGTCATAACATCAAGTTGTCCAGCTACAGTTAAAATTCAACAGATCTTTACAGAATTGGGGGAAAACTCACTATTATTCAAGAATTTATATGACATAGCTTTCTAAAATTCCTCAGCAAACTGCTTCTAAAATCGATTATTACCAGCTGAATTCAGTGCATAAGTCTGATGTAATCAGACTTATTATGAAACACCTTTTTTAAAATCTGTTTATCTCAGTGTAGCACTACTTAAAGCCCTGGTTCAGGTTAAAAATATTTGAGATATATTGATGGCCAAGGTTGTGCTGTGTTTGAATACACTCAAAAATTTTATTAATCTGGGTTTTGGTCACCAGGATTAGTTATTTTGTCTAAAAATGACTTCTCTTTTCTTCAGAGGGTAAGAAAAGATATATTCCTAAAGCAACCTAATGGGACCATTTTTTAGGAAACCTTTATAGAAACAAAGACTATCCACTATTCTAATACATTTAAAAAACTATAGTTCTAGGTTCATTACCCTTAAAAAGGGGGCAATTAATCACACTTCCATAATGTTAAGTATTGTACTGTGCTCTTAAATGCAAGATGAACATATGAAACTTTGCTGTCTTTTGAAGTGTTACACACATTTCTATCTGGAACAACAAATTATGTTCTTAAAATTTTGTCTGACATTTAAAAATTGTTTCCTCATTTTCCAAATAGGTTAAACAATGAAGATAATGTTAAAAATAAAAAAAGAAAATATAAAAATGACTACTTCAAGTGAAAGACTGGGACATGTTTCACAGAAAATGTGGAAAATCTTGTTTTAAATTTATAATAAGCAATCAAATACTCTTCAGTGCACATAATTAGTATATCTATTATAATTTGCAACTGAGTACTGATGACTGCTGCTGCTGATCTTTTAAAATCTCTTACAAAATATAAATAGGATAGCTAAAAGAGAATAACTGATAAACCATGATGTGAGATTCTCTTTTCCTTCCTTTTTTTCTCTTTTCCTTTCCTCTCCACTTGGACTGAAGTCCTTTCTGGCTTCTTCAAAAAAATGCACACACGCACCCACACACACCCACACACACCCCCCACAAATTAATTCCAAAACCATTTTTCTAAATTTCCAATGGACTTGTATTCCTGGTGTCTTTTCACGTGATCACAAGCAAGACACGCATGTGATTCCCAGAACCTAGGAAGATGCACTGAAAAATCCTTCTTCCAGTTGAAATAACTAAGATACATCTTATTATTTTTGTCAAGCATCAGAAGATATTCTGCCAGCTCTCTGGGGGAGAGAAAATCTTCCACATGTATGAAAGAGTCTGCCGGAATGTAATTCTCGTAATTTTCTCTGGAAGGGCCCAGTACGACTGGTACTGATCCAGCCAGAAGAGCATTGTAGAGTTTCTCAGTAATGTAATCTTTGTGGATTGAATTTTCAAAGGAAAGGTAGAATTTGCACGTGGAGATAGTTGGAATCAGGTTTTTGTCATTGACGTAGTCTCCGAAGGCTTGTCCGTAGGTGTGGATTTCAATGTATTTGCTGAGCTCGTTGTAATACTTGACTCGAGCATGCTCAGGGTTCCAGTTACTCACAACCCAACAGACCAAGTTTTCCTTACTTGGTACTTCAAATGTGAAGGAACTGGTGCCAACCATCATGAAGCCATAAGGCACCTGGATATCTGAATCACGCCGGTAAGTCAGGGTCAGGTTAAAAAGGTGTTCGATGCCACTCTTTTGTGGAGTATGAGTTGGAGACTCCAAGTTCATCCAAATCCACTTCTGGAACGGTGGCCTGGCTTGCTGAGGTAAATTGGCCAGATCCCAGCTGATGTCTCTGTGATGAATGAGGACAGCGTGGGATCTGTTATAGAGCGAGCGGTCAATAGTCAGATGGCACCCGGGGATGTTGAACATCGTCTGGCAGGACGTCAGATCGAACGTCTGACCAAATGGCCAAACCCAGATCAAGACAGTAGTTTCATTGAGATTATCAGTTTTGGAAGAAAAGAAGTTCTTCATTTTCAACACTGAACTGGCTGATTCTATAGGACCAGAAATCCAGCTATTTGTTGGTTTGATATAAATTAATATAAATGCCATGAAACAACCAAGGATAATGAAGATAATAAAAAATGGCCGGAAAATTCCTTTAGATGTCGATGTCATAATTTGCTCTGAGAAAAAAAAGAGGAAGAGAAAAAGAGAAAATAATATCAGGTATTAAATTACATATATATATCTTGTTAAAATAATTTAGACATCAAATAGATAAAACTTCAATAACACTGAGCTGCAACCTCAGAAATATCTTTTGAATGGAGAGGGCATGGTCTCTTGCACTCTGTGACAAAGTGACAATATTTCTCTTCTTCACTTTAAAAGCTCACTGACAAATTAAAAGCAAGATTTTAATATATCTCATTCTCGGTGAATCAGTACATATTGAGAAGTTTTTTTGCTCACAACCTAAGCCAAACATTTGGAACACAGAAGACAGAAAAAATTGCCCTTTAATTCTATCCCTGTGTCTGTATAAAGGATAACGTGCTGCAGATTCATTGCATTTGTATTTGTGTGAATGTGGAGGACATAGGATTAGAGGATTGAAAAAGGAAGGGACTAGAACTTTAATTGTGTAGTCAATAAGACTCTTATTAGAAAACTATTTGTGTCTGGTGACTACATAGGGGTGAACATTCATGCCTTCTCCAGGGGACTCCTAAAATACCTAGGAGAGGAAGCACCAGTATCTCATATATTTCCCACATAAAGAAAAATAAAGAGAAATAAATATAAAATATGTTCTTGTATATTTCATTATGTTTTTATGTGTTAAAATTAAGGAAAAGTAGAGATATGCTCCATCGTTATGAGGCATCCTTTTTTTTCCCATGGGGAGAGAGGGCTGAGAAGTTCATAGAGCCTCCTTTGTCCTTGCTCTAGTTGTCTCCTCCTGAGAGAAGTGATCAATCTCTTTCCAGAACTACTCTACCATATGGTTCTTGCAAAACCTAGCAACCCTAGTTAGGGGTTGTTAATTGCTAACCTTTGATCCTGAATGTAGCCCTAGAACTCACAGATGTTCTAAAACATAAAAAAGTTAACCATGCAGCACTATGCCACACAAGGGAAAAGGAGGGGAAGTCAGTTACCAGGAAAAAGTATTCTGAACATACTGGCACACTGTAGATTCTACAATGTGTTACAATTACTCTAAATGTTCTCTGACTTTCCTTTTCTGCACATCTTTTATTTTGTTGTGTTTTGTTTCCTTGGCTAGATAGCACCACAAAAGAATTTAAAAAAAATCCATGCCTATAAATAGAAAAATATATAATATATAGATGCATATATATATATATATATATATATATATATATATACACACACACACACACACATTTAAAGTCAAAGAAAATTTCAGGCCTTTAAAACCACTTCCATAGCTCATCTCTTCCTACTATGAAATAAATCATTAAATTCAGAATGAAGACATGATTGAATGTGATTCAGGGGTACATTAATAGCACATAACTTTGCAGCCTTTGTGAGTGCAAAAACTGATGTGTAGTGAGTGTAGCACTACAGTTACAACAGAAATGTTTTCACATTCATTGTTGAGGAAAGGAAGAAGGAGGGAACATCACTTAGCTTAGCTTTACTCTAACACTGTATCTTGAAGAAAAGGGAATTGTCACAATATCTCCTGATTTTGGGAAGACGGATGGTTTTAACTCTGGTTTTAGTTATAGTGGTGGATTAACCTTGTCTGGCTGTCAGACCCACCCAGCCACTCTCTCACTGTCTCTCCTCAACAAAATATGGGAAGAAAATAAGATGAAAATCTCATGGGTTGAAGTAAGGATTGGAAAGTCACTTATAAGTTACTTTATGGGCTAAACAGGCTCATCTTGGGGCGAAATAATGTAATTGATTGCCATTTAAAATGGATTTATATTATGAGAGACAAAGACAAATATTAAAATAAATTTTTCCCTCCTCTTCCAAGGCTCAGCTTCCTCCTTCATTCCCAACTCTTATACCTCCTACCCACTCCTGAGCAGTGCAGGGGGATAGGAATGTGGGTTTGTGATCAGTCCACAACTATTCCTCTTAGGTCCTTCTTCCTCCTTGTACATTTCCCTTCCTCCAACATGAGTCTTTCCTATGGGTTGCAATTCCTTCAGGGAAAAAAAAAAACTTAGCTACTGAGTGGGCTGTCCATGGGATGCTTCAGGACACATCCACCTGTGGGGTCCTCCACCATGGGCTGCAGGGGAATCTTTGCTCTAGTGCTTGGAGTACATCCCGCTATCCTTCTTCTCTGACCTTGGTGCTCACAAGGTTGTTTCTCACGTTTTTCCCCTCGTTCTAGATGTAGCAATGCCCTGCAGTGGGTGTGCTGGGATATGCTGGAATTGGCACAGGGTGGCCCTGGCTGCTCTTTGGAGAGGCTGTCCAGAGTCCCTGCTGCAAGTGCCTGGGCACCAACACCTCCTACAATTATATAAAATATATGGAATCTGAGTCTGGTGCTTTTGTCTAGGCCCTTTTTCTGAAGGACATAGTTTAGCAAGCCCTCTCTGATTTCAGCAAAATGATTTTGAGGGGAGTAAAGGAGGGGAACGGTGTGTGTCCATGGCTTTTCCACTTATCCTCATCAGTTTAAATCCCTCTGAAAGAAAAATGAGGCTTTACAGCAACATCACATTGGCTTTTTTTAGCCTGTGTTGATTGTTTCTTGAAATTATGTCTAGAAGGAAGGTTATGTCCTATAAGAGCCTGTTTCCCTGCCTTACTACAGAGAAAGGGAGAATGGGACCTCTAAGGAAGAAGGGATTTAGGTTGAACAGCTCTAGGAGATGCAGCTCAAGGAAAAAGCAAGAGGCTGAGCTGATATTCATGTAAAGCTGTTCTTTGTTTCTGTGCTTTTGAAAGCAATACACAGCACAGGTATAACTTATCACTGAACAGAGAGAGTGAGCTGAGTTTGAACAATAGATTGGGACACGTTTATTTTCAGGAGCTGATAATTTTCTAGGGATTAAAAAGGATGATGAAAAATCAGAAACAGGATTTTAACATTGTGCCTTGTCACATAGTCACCCTCCAGTTATAAGCCTTTTGACTCAAGTCTCTGACAGGGATTATTTTACACTAAGCTCCTCTGCTAACTAATAATAAACCCCTGCATCATCACATGACAATTCTTACTGCATAGGAAATGACCAGATATTACATCTTCTGTCCTCTGCCTGAAATTCTAGTTCATCCAGATTTTTGAAATATAGAGCCAATATGAGGATAATCACTTGTGGTTTGTGCTACCCCAAGTACCAATACTAACATCTGACCATATTAAACAGATGAGTTTGCCAATTTTTGTCCTTCTGGGTTGATTTCCTCTCCTGGTTTTGCTGTCCTGTGAAGGCATGTCCCCCTTCCGATGTGGGATCATGTTTTTTAGTTTTTGCCTTTTACCAAAACACTAACCTAATCCAGACTCTATAGTTCTTTATAGTCCTGTATCCTTTGGATTCAGAGAACCAGCCATTCATTATGCAGTCTCACAGATCCATTAGGTGTATTGGCATCACTGGCATGCTTTGCTCTGAAACTACTGCTAATGGGATGGTCGAAAAAGGTTATAATAGCAGGACCCTTTAAAAAATTGAATAGGAGTCTTGCAAAGAAGGAGGACCTGAGCAGACTCCTAAAAATACCACTTATCCATACCCTGAGGAGCTGGACAGAGTTTTTTTCGTGGAATTCTATTTTTGTATTCCATTTTGTGGAATACAGTAACAACTGTTAAGATGTACACTGGGAATAGCGGCAATTTTTCATGACAAAGTACTAACAGAATCAATAATTTCTGTGCTTCCCAAGGCAGATTGAGGGACCCATGGAATGGACCAGCAAACTCTGCTTTCATGGCTTTTGGGACTGAGTCCTGGGCACAGTCAGGCAGCAGAAAGTACAGTGAAGGCATGTGTTAAGCACTTGTTGACACATATTATTTGCATAGCATCATAAAGTGGTTTGGGTTGGAAGAGATATTTTGAGAATTAGCTTGTGTGTACTACTAGTACGTAAAGGTTATAGTGCACTAGAATTCACAGACAATTTTTCCCATAATAATCTCCAAAATGGGGAGTCTTTCCCATATTTATTTATGTCCTTCTTTTTTGTGTCCAAGATAACCATTAACATCTGACTGTAATTCTACTAAAAAGGTGACACTAAGGAGACATTTGTTGTAAGCCATCACCTTAGTTCACCCTTCCCCTTTCATGGCTTTTCTTCCACCACAGAATCACAAATTTCCTTTCTGTGGATTCCCTCCCCCATGCATGTCGAGTCTGAATGGAGAACTTTGTCAAAGAGATGTGTTTACTGAGATTTTTGCCAGCTGGAAGAATTCTGCACTTTTGATAGTTTTGTTATAAAGTACATTTCAGAGTGTTGTGGAGTAGCAAGTATTTTCTAGGTGCTTTTCTTCCCAAGTTGAAAGTATAGTATTTTATCAGTACAAGACTGTTTTTCTCAGTACAAAACTTAGCAAGGCTTCTTTTTAAGTGCAAATCTTGGCATTCCATCAGCAAGCAACTGCATTTAGCAGCAACACAAACAGGGAGATAGTAATGGGGTATCAGACCTGTTAACCCCAAGTTTACCAGGCAAGGCTTGCAAAAAAATGTCTGGTTTTGCATGCATTATGATGAAAAAGCAGGTTATTAAGAAATAAAATTGAATTTTATGGAAACTGTTTTATCATATTTTCCTTGCAACTGGGACTTGTCAGTCATTCCAGAAGGGACAGATATGTTTTGCTTTTTTTCTGATTATGCAATACTGCAGTGGGGAGAAAATATGAACTTTCTTGTCAATAATATTGATGCCTTTTTCTCTGGCATTTTTTGGCACCAATTTCTTCAGTTCCTCAAGGTTTTGTCAGTAGCCCAAAATATACCATTACTTGCAGAGGTACAACTCTCATTACTAGTCTAGTGCTGAGATTTTCCAAAGGGAAAGGACAGTATTTTAAAATAAAAATGAAGCTACGATTCTTAAAAGCATGGACACTGAACAATGAAAAAAAATCACAATACTTTTCACACCTTAGAATTCTTAAGTGTTTGGGGCTAACTCTTGTCTTCACCACTAGTTGGTCTCAGGATTCCTCAGGAGGAAATGCTTAACCTCAAGATGCTCAAGGATCGCTCCTGGCATCAGAGTGGGTGAAGAGCAGAAGGACTTCGAGGTTAACAGAGATGTCTACCTCTAGAAGAAAACAATCTAGGTAGATACTTCAGGGCTATAAAAGGACAGCTGAATGCAGTGAGAATTGATAGGAATCACAAGCAAACAATTGTTATTGTTAGAAAGAAAGCTCAACTGAGATTGCTCTCCCAGTCCTCTGGCATGTTTTACCCCCCTTGGCCATGGCATACTTGCATTTATGCTAAAAGCTGGATTTTCTTAAAGCACACTTCCAATTAGCTAGAGCTGTTTCACCTGCAGTATTGAAGAAAACCTGATTGCCTCAGGATAGCCAGCGTGTAACTTCTTATCTCCAAGTCAGTGCTGCATGGACATGCCCCCGAGGGCTTTTGCTTTAGCTCTGAAACTCAGGAGTGCTCCTTTTACTGGAATTAACTCACTGCTCCCAGTTAAGCTTCCTCTGTTGCAACTGGAACAGCGGATTTTTTCTTCCCCAGCATCCAAACACAGGCTTGTTTCCACACATTTCCATGCCTGTCCACAGATTTCTGAAAACAGCCCAGCATGAAAAGGCACAACAGAGCTGCACAGAGTTAAAAGGCTAAAACCAGAATGAGCTGCTGATCTCAGACTGCATATTTTTATTCTACTGTTTACAACATTCTTTTTCTTCCCCTCTCCAGCTCCTTTGTTTTCTAGTTATTTGTTAATTCCACAGATTCCAGTTTTGTGTATTTGCACTCTGAGAACAGTATAGAATAATTTCATTCAGTGGTGGTAAATTTTACTTCGAACAGTTTAAAAAAAATTACCTAAAAGCACCCCGAGGACAGGTAGCCATTAAGATAGATTTCTTCAGAATGGTGCAGAACCTGTCACTGGAGACTGGCAAGAACCAGGTCAGACAAGCATCACTAAGCAATGAGAGATCAAATTGTGCCCCCAGGTCCTGGGGCTGGGCTACAATGACCTCACTTTGTTCCTTCCAGCCTTGTGCTCATGGCAGTAAACACAGATTCTTATAAAATGAACCTAATAAGAATACAAACTGGCAGTCTAAAACTACAAAGAATTGCAGAATAAATGAGTCAAATCATCCCCCATCCTCAACATTGCCTTGCAAACTATGAAGCAGCCACATGGCACAGAGTGAAAATGTGAAAGAAAGCAAAAAATTATGTGGACAACAGCAACTACAAAGTTCCTACTTTTAAAGGCTAAACCTAAATCTTGCTGTCAATTGCTGGATGGGGTACAGCTGCCTTATTTTGTGAATGTCTGAATCTTGACCCCCTTGCTGAAGAAAATCCCATTCTCAGCTTCCTTCTCCAAATTGCTGTGCAGTCCACAGTATCCTGCCATGGCTCAGCAGCCCCCAGCCTCCCCCTGATTTTCATCTATCCTCTCCTTCTCTCCATGGCAGCCACACACTGTCACTCTCCAGCTGCTTATGCAACAGCTCAGTGGTTCCTTACTGTGATCCAGTGTACAGCTAAAGACATTAGCCAGGGACACAGAGTCTCTCAGAACAGCAGGGGGAAATGGCTAAAGCACTGCTGTCCATACCAGAATGACTTTATGTCCACCAACACCATCACATATAAAAGAAAAAAAATACAGTCCTATCAGCAAGAAACTTTTCCAGACAATCCAGAGTTAGTGTCAGGACACTCCACATGGCAGCAGCATTGCTTTCTAATTATGAGTTTATGAGTTTGTCTCAGAGGATACAGGAGGTACCTTTCCTTCCCTTGGCACAATTGGAAAATAAATGGCATGCAAAGTGATCAGAACCTCAGCAGCATTGCCAGCCTTGGTAGCATGCAGACAGAAACTTTTTTTACCTTAACTTCCACGTTTGCTTGTCCACATCACAGCAATGACCAACAGTACTCTGTGAAAGGGGTGATGGCTTTCCATACTGTGCTAGGTATAGAAAATGGAGTTCTTCACCATTGTAGCTTAGCAGCAAATTTTATCTGCCTTGCTAGAAAAGAGCTTTTTATCTTTTTGAATATAAAGCTCATCCTAGTTATGCAGCACAAGCCAGTCCCTGCCTCTTTCAAAAGCCCTGAAAAGACTCTGCACAAAATGAAGCTGATCAAAGAAAAGTGCTCCAAAAGCAAGTGGTCTCTTCCTCCCCTCTTTCCATGTGGTTTGGGAACAGCAAACTGCTGTTCTCTCTGATTCTGCCAGAATTGCAGAAAGAGCTCTTCAGCAGCTTGGTGACTGGCTTGTAAAACTGCAGCCGGCCAGCTGAAATATGAATAACATACCTGCAAAAACTGTGTGTTTGTGATGGCCACCCGCCAACCAGAAAGCCCTGGCTAACTCACAGTGCCTGTGAAAATGATGTGAGCAAAGCCAAACAGAGAGAGAGCATGAAGTGGCAGGAGAAGGACCATAGGCATTCCTGTGCACATAAGTTAAACTCCCCATCAAACAATCACAGTTGCTTCTGACTGATTTCCTAATATGTAGTTCCCCTGTATAGTGGAAAAACACCTCCTCCTGTGAAGAAGATAAACCAGAATCAGGAAAAAGCAGAAGATGCCTACTTACAATATTGAACACTTTGGGGTATATTAGTTCTGTGGCAAAGCAAGGCTTTTGGAGCTCTGAGCCCCAGCTGTTTGTGCAGATATGATTAGAGGCTAGGTGCAGAAGTTACACCATCATATCTTGCTGCTTAAGCAAGCTCAAAAAATTTAATTGAGGTTTAATGCTGCCTTTTGTGCAGATAAACCTGCATAGATCTGAGGATTTTGCCACTGGCAACACAACTTTTGAGAAAGCTCTGTAGCCAGGAAAGGAAGCCTGAGAGGCCTTTAAGAATACCATAAATTCCCCATAATCTGATCTCTGCTTAACATTTCACTTCTCTGCTTGCCTAGCACCTTTTCCTTAAGAGACTCGTTATACCTCTAGGTTTGGGATCTGTACTGATAGAACCAGTTTTTTTCAGATGCGGGTCAATGTTCTTGCTTTAATTTGAAAAATCTTCTGTGCTGTGGATCCTAGTTGCCAGTGAGACAACCACTTCCCCAGAGAGAAAAGAAAGCTACTGGAGTGCTGAAATCCATTGCAATCTGCTCTGTGGCAGAATTGGAGAATGCCATTTACTACTATGTTAGCTGAGAATAAAGGTGATAATTTATAGGCTTACTTTTTAAAATATGTCCATCCATACTCTTTGCAAATGAGACTTTTCCCCCTCACAGAATGGAAGGATTGGCATTTGTTTTAAAAATACAATCAACAGGATTGGGTTTCTGGACTATTCTGAGCTAAGAAGTAACTAAGTGTTTGTCAAGAGGTTTCAGGATAGCCAAGAATCCTCAGCCAGGTTCTGCTAGTTGTCTAGATGCCCTGAGCAGAACTCTTCACTAATCCAGCTTTCCTAAAAGCCCATCAGCGACTCAAAACTTCAGGTTAATCTGTGCATAGAGAATACAAATCCTTCATATTGTAACATACTGAGTGCCAAAACAACAGAGGCTTATTTTCTGTCTGGGAGAAGTGCAATTCAAAGAATTGATGGATTGTAGAGCACTTGTGTGTGTGAGGACACCAGCACTAATTGGAAGAAAAAAAACCAGCACCAATCATTTTCATTGTGCACCAACAGATATGTTCTCAAGATTACTTGTGTTGGTAGTACCAAATATTTCAAAAGAGTAAGCTGTTAAGTGTAAGATAGAAGGTGATTATCAAACAAGACTCTTGAATGAAACACTTGTCGTGCTGGAGCAAGATTAGTAATTCACTATGAAGGTTATACTATACTGTAAAGTTTGGACACTGAAAACATGAGCAGAAGAGATCTCACAGATCTCTTTTAAGATCTGATACAAGTGCCTTTTTACTCAAACACAGGGAGAAAGACCAGGATCCACAACAAGTAAATTCAGAAACTTTCCTATTAAGAAGTTTAAACATATGCATGCACACAAACTGAAACAAAAACTTAATCACCCAAAACCTAAAGCGTGATAAAACAAGAATGAAAGCATATTTAAAAACCAATATATGTTTTAGATAGTGTATACTATAAAACCAGCAAAACTAACATTCCCCCAACCTCTCAAACTGTACACTCTTCTGAGAAAACAAAATTGCAGTTGAGAGAAAGCAGTTGGTAATTTCTTGGAGTGTGCATAACTTTCTTTTGTGTGTACAACAAAAGGAGGAGAACATAGCTGGAACTACAAGTATAACAAGCTGAGAATACAAAGCTTAACAAAGTCACTGAAGAGACTTTTCTGTAGAAAAGAAAAAACCTGAAGTTCTTCAGTGAAGAAATAACAAATACACAAGAGGAATGGGTTGAAGGAACAATTGTCTGAAAAAATCCTCCAGTAGCTGCAAACACCAACCTGTTCTAAGGTGATGTTTTCTTTTTACTACTTTCTCTCCAGGTTAACATAGACACTGATGCCTCTGAGAGCAACTTGAGGTTAGAACATGTCAATGAAGAATATTCTGCACAGGCTGCTGACAAAAACTGCACAAAGCCAGCAGTTAGTTCAGAGATCATATTTCTTTTGAAAAGGCTCAAGTTATTTGCTATTTCTTAGCTTATTGTGTTCCTTTTAAGCATATTAAAAAGAGAAGTTAAATGTTTGCAGTCTAAGTTTAATTCTAATATTCAATTTGCCCTTGATTCTAATGTTCAATTACTTGATTTTAGTGTCATACATTATTCTACTCTTAATAGAGAAAAAAGATCCGTAAGGAATTAATGAATATTTTGCCACTAGAGTAACAATTCAATGTACAACTATTTACTGTATCACAGAAATACAATTTGCCAAGTAGTCTTTCTTCCTTCTTAGGGTTTGCAACCCATAGTGTTTCTCTGGCACAACTTGACTGCTAATTAAAACTAGGCATTTAAAAAGTAGAAAGAAAGAGATTTGTTCCTAAAATGCAAGGAAGATTTTATATTGCAATCTTACTTAGAAAGTAACTTTCTAAAGAAAGTCTGGAGAGATAGGTAGGATGAAACACAGAGAGAAAGAAAAAGAGCAAAGGAAATAAGCTGTAAAAGATTTAAAAAGGGTCTAGATATGAGATCAGCAACACTTAATGCTGGATTCCTTTACTTTAAGGAAATTGGTGTAAAAAAAGTGATGGCAAGCAACTGCCTTTTCAAACAGACTGTGAATCCATGCAATTGAGTTTAGCAATTGTGGGTAGGACTAATTTGATGACAAAAATGTTAGGAGGAGCCTAAATCCCTAATCCTAAATGTCATAAGAAGCCCCAAACCAGGAACAGGCTCTACTAGTAGGGATCAGGGGTCATGTTGCAATCCTGCAACCCTGAAAACCTCTGTTCATTTGTCTGTTAGTGCTGGTCATGCTTAAACTCTCTCTGACCCTCTGCCTTTCAGACTGCTGTGCTCTCAGCTGCCTGGTGCCAGCACATCCCCAGAAGGGGCTCATTCTTCACGGGCAAGGGCCACTCAAAATCGATAAACCAGCTATTACCCCAGCTCTGAGCCCCAAGGAAACAAATGTGCCTACAAGACCAGACTTCATCTTAAATGCACTGGTAACAGCTGCTTTTTGGTTGTTTGAATTTAAAGGAAACAGGCAGAGGATGAAGTCCCTTAAATGTAGAAACTGAAACTATGACCTATTTAGATACGAATCTTTCTTCAACCTCAAGTGATTCAGATCTCGATGATTCAATTTCCTTAAAGGCTTTCTAGCTCCTAAACAACAACGTCTGTCCATTTTACAATGTGTGAAGAGCTTAAGGAATAGAGGTGAGCAATCCTTTTTCCCTCACTGGAGGCCTAGGTGCTAATCAAGACAATACCATTTTCTCTCGACCTCGTTCTGTCTCCTGCCTATTGACTCCCTAATGATTTATGCCCAGGGGCACATCTGCAGCAGTAGAAGGTAGAGTCAGCTTCCTTTCCCATGCAGTTTACAACCCTGTAAAGAGAAGGTTAAAGACAGGGTTTAAATCTCCTTTGTTGGAAAGAACACTAAAACTGGTATTTATTTTGGTGAATAATTTTCTTCATAAAAGGAAGGGACTAGATCCCTGCTCTAGGAGGTTTCCTCAAGAATCCTCTGATTCCTCAAGATTCCCTCTGAATCCCTAGAAGGACCCAGTCCTTTAGAGCACTGGAAGTATCTTGGTGAAGAATGGAGGAAGGCACACCCCAGTTCTGTCTTGGGCAGCCTCTTTCACTGTTTGTGGTGTGTTGCACTTGTAGGTGCCCAACAGATTGTCTGCATTTTGTAGGTGCTCCAGGAACCCCAAGGAAGCTTTTGGGCTAACAACCAGACCTGCTAATGGTCAGCAGGTGATGGGTGTTGAGGACAGCCTTTGATCTCTGTGGTTTGGTTGTGGTCAAATGTCACACAAAATAAATGTTAAAGTACCACAAAGACTTCTTCCCAGCCAAATTAAATGGAATTTCTGATAGAATATATGTCTGTTGTAAGTCCTCCTAAAGAAAGTTTAATCAAAAGCAATGATAATAATGTTAGGAAATCATTATTTCACTGACAAGAACGTTGCTCTGCTGGACAGCAGTGATTTACTTGGCAAGGCAATTAGAGCCTGCTGATGCCCTGACAAATCTCATACACAGGACACAGAACAAAGTGGTAGAGAACTTCCTGGCTCTTTTATCAGTTTAATCTGAGTTTAGTTGAGCAGAATTTAATTTGAGTTGGGCACTAATGACTTTGTCTCATGGACACCTAAAGTGTAAGACTCCTTTCCTTCAATAAAATAGCTTCAAATCTACCAATTAAGAGTACCATAGAACCAAAATAAAAGGTGCTCTAGTAAAAACAATACATTCACTTTTGAAATGTCTTTCCCAAAAGAATCTTTTGGACTTTTGCAAGCATAAAGTTTTAATCAAGCCACAGTCAGAAAATTATTACTGAAACTGCACTGTGTGGAGTAAAGGAGCAGTGGAAATCAAGTACAGGAAAGATAAATAATTTTCACATTATAATGAAAATTTGAACAACTATTTGACAACTGTGATTTAAATTTGCATCAAAATGGTTGAATCTGTGGGATAGAATATTTTCTTCAAACAAACTGCACCTGAAGGTAGTCATATCACATTTATTCAGATCAGATATCTTTTTTATGTATCTTTTTTCAAATCTCTGAAAACTTTTTTGATTGAGGTAAATTAGTACAGAGAAATGGAAGACTTAGATTAAAGTCAGCGACCCCTTGATCTTCAAAATAAGAAAGAACCAACTCCTTTGCAGAGCT